TCCCTCTCTTCCCCTATGATCTTCCCCTCAAATCTTCTGATTTGAGGAAATCAGGGAGATTATATGATAATTGTCCCTCTCTGATTGACTTGTTTTGCCTACAATAATACCTTCTAGTTCCATCCACATCCTTTCAAATGGCAAGATTTCATTTTTTCGATGGCTGCATAATATTCCAACATATACATATATATGTACCATAACTTTTTTATTCATTCATCTGTTGGTGGACATCTAGGCTCTTTCCATAGTTTGGCTATTGTGGACATTGCTGCTGTAAACATTGAGGAGCATGTGCCCCTTCAGATCACTACATTGCTACACTGATATTTTTATATATTTATGTATTTGTTGTCCATTTTCCCTACTGCATGATGAACACTTATAAAAGCAGGAATGTTGCATATAGCACATAATAGATGCTTGATAAATATTTTATTAATATTTACTAATTTATCAACTTAATTATTTAGTAAAAATAATTAATTCAGATAAAACAAAACTGATGTGAAAAACACAATTAAAAAAATAAATCAAAAACTAAGAAAAATCAGAAACAATTAAAAAATATTAGGTATACAAAGGCAATAATTAACTCCTAAAATTCAAAATATTAAAAATAAAATATATAATTCAGTATAACACTGTAAGGAGTTGGTAAAGATATGAACAATGGGGAAGAAAAGATAAGAATGTAAGAGGTTAATCCTGGAAGTCAAATGTCTGACTAACAGAAATTTCTACAGTAACAGAAAAAGTGGAGAGGAGGGAGCAATTTAAGATAAAATACAAGAATGTTTTCTGGAATGGAAGGAACAGCCTCATGATGGAAATGCCCTCAAAATGCTCTACAAATTAAATAAAAAAAAAGAAAAAGCCATCAAAGTTCTGCTTATAGAACTTATATGAAACTAAAAGATTTTCTACTTATATAAACTTGAAAAATATATGGAACCAAAATAAATTAGAGGGTATTCACATTTTACACATTTTATTTTATTTTTTTCATTTTAAATTTATTTTTTGAGTATAGTTGACACACAATGTTAAATTAGTTTCAGGGGTACAATATAGTGATTCAACATGTCTACACATTATGCTGTGTTCACAAGGGCAGCTAATCTGTCACCATACACTATTACAATACCATTGATTATATAACCTGTATTTTCCTTTTACTCCCATGACTTATTCACTCCATAACTGGAAGCCTGTATCTCCCACTCGCCTTTGCCCATTTTGCCCACCCTACCCATCCACCTCCCCCTCTGGCAACCATCAGTCCTCTGTATGTACAAGTCTGATTCTAATTTTTGTTTGTTTTTTTATTCATTTGTTTTGGTTTTTAGGTTCCACATGAGTGAATATGCACATTTTAAGACTTAAAACAATATTTTATATTATTAATGAATATGTAAACATTTAGTAAAACTATAAAGAACTTTCATGAGAGTATTAATCCAAAATCATGATAGCAATTATCTATGGAGAAGGAAAGAAGGAAATAATATTTAAGAGGAGCACAGAGGCAGCATTATTTTTATGTATAAAATCTTATTAAAAGAAAGACAACAAGCAAATATAACATAAGATTTAATGAGATTGAGTGATGGGTATAAAGATATTGCTGTAAGACCCTCTGCATTTTTCAGTATTTTTGAAATATTTCACTATTGAAAACAAAATAATGTAAGAGATCAGAAAAAAGAAAACAGTTACATAAAAAAATTGCAGGAAACAAAATGGAATCAGGATTCTTAACTGTTATAAAAGAAACCAGAAGATAATGGAGAAATATTCACCCACTCTGAGAGGAAATCATCTTCAACAAAGAAGCATATATCCACCCAAAATACCGATTAATATAAAAGCTGACTGAAAACACATAAGGCTTAACATCACTCACCTATTCTTAGGAAACTAATGAATTTTGTACTCTGCAAAGCAAGGGAAAAAACCTAGAAAGAGACATGAGAGCTGTTAAGAAAAATTGCATTGAACAATTGTTAAAAATGGAAAGACAGGTTTTTCGAACTACTATAGTAAGGAAGAGAGAGGTGAGTATAGAACTGAGCTCAACTCCAAGTTAAACAGGCAAGAAATTTTATTTATGACTGTTACAGGGGAGAGAACTTAAACTCAATTCCACTGAAACAAAAGTTGGGAGGATTTGTAAATGCTGGGCTGAGCTAATGGAAAAGTACTTAAGGACATTGTTGGGGAGGTTAGTCAATGTGATTAGGTCATCTGTGTTTGCTAATTTTTGCTTCTCAAAGTTAGACTTCTACAGAGACTGAGAGATATTGATGTTATCTTTCTTGACAATTACATTTCAAAGAAATGGCTACCAGGGACTTGAGAAATACATTCACGAGTTTTATAAAATTTACATCTTGAAGGAACAAAGGAAGAATTTATAATTACAAGTTTTCTAAAGAAAATGCTCTAAAGAAAGTGTGGTCAATGTCTATACTCAGGAAGAAACCTGTTTAGTCAAACTGAGGGGAATGTTAAGGTCATCTTAGTCAAATATAGGAAACTGGGATCCAACATAAGAGAGAACTAATGATATTAAGTAAAGTCCCATGTCCAAATTTATGCATCAGTTGCATAGAGACTGATGAGAGAAGAAGACTGTGAGATTCCAGTTCAGAGATCTCCAGGAAAAATCAGACAAAGAAGGAATTGATTGGTTTAAAGTGTTAGATCATGTAGACATTAATATTGAATGTGTTTTTATAGTTCTGTTGGTCAGTTTAAAAAAGAATTAGTGATAGAAACAGTACAGAAAGATAGTGAAAAATATGCCACAAAAGTGTAAAGAAATCAACAACTGAAAACTGGAAAATCCCCATGCACTTGGTAATTAAAGGTATATTTCTAAATAACACATGGATCATAAAAAAATCTCAAGAGAAGCTAAAACTTATTTCAAATAAATTAAATGAAAATACAACATATCAAACTATGCAATGCAATGAAAGCAGTGTTTAGAAGGAAATTTGTAGAGTTAAATGCTTCTATTGGAAAAGAAGAAAGATCTAAAATCAGTAACTAAGCTTCTATCTTAAGGAAAACAAGGCAAATTAAATCTGAAGTAAACAGAAAGAAAAGAAATAATAAAAATCAGAGCAGAAATAAAATTGAAAACAAAAAAACAATAGAGAAAATCTATTAAGTCAAAAGCGGATTCTTTAAGATCAATAAAATTGATAAGACTTTAGCCACAATAAGAAAAAATTAGAGAAGAAACAAATTACTAATATCAGAAATGGAAGAGGGGTCATCACTACAGATCCCATGAACATTGGATGGATAATAAAGGAATGTTATTAACAACTCTATGACCATAAATTTAATAACCTAGATAACCTAGGCAAATTCCTTCAAAGACACAATCTACCAAAACTCACATGAGAAGTAATAGACAATTTTAATAGGCCTATATCTATTAAAGAAATTGAATCAGTAATAAACAACTTTCCAAAACAGAAAATATCAGACCCAATGGGTTCACTGGTAAATCTACCAAACATTTAAGAAATCATACCAATTTTCCACAATCTCTTCCAGAAGATAGAAGCAGATGAAAACTTTCTTACTCATTCCAAAGAAGCACGTATTAACCTAATATCAAAATCAGACACAGACATTACAGGAAATGAAAACTACAGATCAATACCTCTTACAATACAGATGGAAATATCCTCAAAAAAATACTAGCAAAATGAATCCAACGATGTGCGAAAAGAAGTCTACACCACACCAAGAGGAATCTGTGTCAGATATGCAAGCCTGGTTCAACATTCAAAAACCAATAAATGTAATCAAAAAGTGTAGAAACATTTTGTTTGGCCATTTGCAGGTAGCTCTACCCACAGGCTTTCTTTAAAATGTATCCGGCCTGAGTCAGAAACTAGTCTGCTCTACCTCCCGGTTGCAAGAGGTGCTTTGAAGCCTTTGCCAATAGGCTGGAAAGAAAGAGGATTAACTTGCTCCCTCCCTGGAGATCATGTGACTCATACCATAGTTCACTCCAGAGGAATCATCCTTCCAATCTCCAAATCCCCTGACCACTTCAGCTGAACTTTTTCAGGCATTCTGTGTGAATGAGTGTTCAAGGTCACAAAACCTGATTTATGATATTGTCTATGCAGGATCTTCTTAGTTAACCCAACATCTCATTTTGGAGTAAAAATAGTTGGTATTTATTACCTTGTAGCACTATCACTGAGAGTGAAATAATTTTATTTTCTACCACTGACCCTCTCTGTTAGGATTCTTCCCTTGACTTACTGTGTAACAGAATGTGTTTGCCATTTTCCTTTCAGTCATTCTCTTTCTGGAAGACAACATGTGTCTACCTGCTTGTGTATGTAATTATAAACTCTCTAAGTACAGAAATTTACCTCCTATTCCATTAATTACCTAACATGCTGAACTTCAATGAAAGGGTTGTTGACTTATTATCTCTACTCTGGAAGAATTTGCTAATATTTCCTAAGAAACATTTTGACCAAATAATGATATGTTTTATTAAGTAAAGTTCTTACAAATTTTAGTTTTAGCCACATTATATTAAATTTTGCCAAATTGAAGTACAACTTTAATATTTAAATGTATAAAAGGTAAATATTCTGAGATTGAAAAAGTAGCTGATTTAAAATAAGATGAACTTCACGTTTTAAAATAGTTTAAATCACTCCTTTTGTAATATTTATAAGTCCCCATGAGTAAGAACTCTTCAATGTTACAATTAATGTCAGTCATTGATAATTTTACCAATAAATATTTTTATTTATGTTGTAGTCAGGCAAACCTCATAAATGGAATCTATAGACACATAACTTTCTTGGGATATTTCCTTTCTGTCCATAAAATAGGGTAAGGGGAGGGGGGGAAAACACATTTCCAATTGGAAAACACCAAGTCAGTCCCTTAAAATAAGCTGACTAACATTTGTAAAGTAATTCTTATCCTTATAAATTGACTTCTTGCAGGAAACAGACCTTATCCTGACTTTTAATATTTCAATGCACCGATCTTGGTGGATGGAGAATGGACCAGGATGTACAGTAACATCAGTGACCCCTGCACCAGACTGGGCCCCAGAAGACCATCGTTACATCACGGTCTCAGGGTGTTTTCTGGAGTACCAGTACATAGAAGTGGCTCATAGTTCCCTCCAGATTGTTCTCGCAGTAAGTGTTGACCATCAACCACTCCTTCTAGTGCTTTTAGAATTGTTTTATCTCCATGCAGATTTAGTGCACACAAATGGAATCTGTGGATAAAGTGTGGCTATTTGATTTTTTCTAATTAATGCCCCCTTCTATAGACATTTTTCAGGTTAAACCAGGGCATAGTAAAAAGTCATCAATCGGTAAATTAGTAAATAGGCTATGGCATCTTCAGCATTTTATGTAAGAAATTCAATCAGTCAGGGTTTGATCATTTGGCTTTTGGTAAATAAGATTTTTCCAAAGATTCCTGCAGAAAGATCAGAGAGTCTTCACAACTAACATGATGTAAAATTTATATGATTTCAATAGATATATTTTCCCCTAGTGCTTCTTTCTGTCTGTGTTGCTAGCCCTGGGAATTCTCCTCTCTGTTTGCTCTTATTCTTCCTAGAATTTCCTGAAGTACAACTCATCACCTTCTATCATTTCCCCCCTTTTTCAAAACAATCCAGTTTTTCATAAATTCTGCTTCTAGGACTGTCATGCCTCCATTTATATTGTATTAAACTGAAAAAGAAACCCCCCAGCAGGGGGCAGTAAGAGTTATAAAGGATTCCTCCGTATTTGTATACAGTATTTCTAGAGCATATTCGTATAATATATGTCTGTTATATAAAACATATTATTTTGGGGGTTCCTGGGTGGCTCAGTCAGTTGAGCATCCCACTCTTGATTTCAACTCAGGTCATGATCTTGGGGTCATAGGATTGAGCACCGCGTAAGGCTCCCTGCTAAGCAAGGAGTCGGCTGGGTATTCTCTCTTTCCCTCTCCCTCTGCCCCTCCCCTGAATCATGAGCTCTCTCTCCCTCTCTAATAAATAAATCTTAAAATACATATATATTATTTTGTGTTGTATCACTGTGACAATGTGAAACAAATATATCCTTTTCTTAAGAAAGACTTTTACTAAGCCTAAATGCATAATTTTATAGGAATTATAACGGAAATTTTTAATTATACATGTTTCCAATTATTTCTTACATAGCCTATATGTACAGATCTACATATCTTTCTTAGACTCCATGTAGATCTAAAACTGCTGTACATAGCCTTAAAATTGTTGATGACAAATAATGCAAATAGAATCTGCTTTTTTTTTTTAAGACTTTATTTATTTATTTGACAGAGAGACAGCAAGAGAGGGAGCACAAGCAGGGGGAGTGGGAGAAGGAGAAGCAGGCTTTCCACGGAGCAAGGAGACAGATGCAGGGCTCAATCCAAGGACCCTGAGATCACAACGTGAGCCAAATGCAGACACTTAATGACTGAGCTACCCAGACACCTCTAGAATCTGCTTTTTGAGTCTTTCTTCAGTTAGTTATTTTGAGAATGATGTTAACTCAACAATTTTTAAATAACAAGACATAAAATGTGCTGGATAGAATAGCCTCAAATTCAATCACATAAAATTCTTCTGGAATTAATAAAACCATATGAATGTATATGTATTAGATTATATATATCAAATATATATTGATTAGATTTTTAAAATAAATATATAGATACACACACACATGCATACACATACACACACTTAAATTATAGTAGGCTGAGTATTCTGTGCTAGTAAACATTACCAAATCATTGTGACTAAAACCATAAATGTTAATTCTTACGGATCAGTAGAAGGTTCTGCCAATCACCGCCACTAAAAAAACAAGGTTGGTGAAGAAGCCACCATCTCAGTCATCATGGGTTGCCATGCCAGAGAGCATAGATAGATCTGGAGTATCTCCACTGGCACAAAAATGTTTCTCTTTGGGAAGAGAAGCTCATTGTTCACAGTTCATTGTCTAGAACTAGTCACACAGTCCTACCCAACTGCAAAATGGCCAAGGAGAAGGGAGAATGTGAATTTTGGGAGATCATTGTAAATTATTTCCAGAATATTTGAATTATGTTTTGGCTAAAACATTGAGTGATCTCCCTTGAATATGTGCAACCTGAGACATTTCTTAATAAATACACCCTTCTACAATACTCTGAAACTCTAAAACTGTTCATTTTAATTATCGTGAAATAAAAATAAGTTAAATTTGATGGGATGGGAAAAGTCATTTCATTATTTAAAATCCATTTAGATGAAGTATTCATTCTCATAAAGGAAAAATAAAATGTTTCTGGTATTTGGGAACAGATAATGTGTTAGAGAGGGGTTTTAGATAAAACATCCTCTCTGGAGGTCCCGTTATTACTGGACCCACACATTTTGGAAGACTTCCATTTATGCCTCAAAGATGCTGTAAGGATATAGCTTATGTGCATGGATAGTTATGTGTCACTGATTTAAAGAGTTGAATTAATGTGTGTATGTATAAACTATATTCATAGATTTATTATACCTACATAAAATTTTAGCACACAGGTATTTGCTAAAAAAAACAAAAACAAAAGCAAAAACAAAAACATAATGGACATGAGGCTGACATACTGCCCAAGGTAAAATCATCTGTAAAAGTGGCTGGAGTGAAAAGAAGATGGAAGGAATGTCCCTAAAAGCAGATGTGACTGATAATTCAAGTGACTGGCTCTCACTGCTGTCTACATTGCCCCTGTTTGAGTAAGAAATAGCTTGAACAAACCATCACAGGATGTGGTATCTTTACATCTCCCCTTTCCACCTGTCCTTCCACCCAGCATTTTTCTTTGGCGATACCGGCTGTGGATCATCTGAGAATCAGTTAGCAACAGTGTACCAAGCCAGTTACTTGGAGAATTTTCAAATCCCTTTCTGTCTTTAGGCTTGCTGTTGTCTAGCCAGCCTCAGGCTGAAAGCATCTGCTGTACAGAAAACCTAGCATATCTTAACTAAGGTTTTAGAATGGAAACCAAAATGGGATTTACCATGAATAATTTACTAATTGGAAGCCTTCCAACTAGATCTTCCTATAGGCATTCTGATCGCTTCTGCTGTCGTGATTAAGAGATGACATGGTGTCTTGGATTTCTGCTCCTTCCCTTTTCATGTTACCCAAATAACCCCCCAGACAATCCAACATTTCATTCAGCTGGGTTCAGTGAATACTTTCTGAGTGCTTGTTCCCTGCTGGCATCCTGAAAAACAAATGACAGGATCCCTGACCTTGACAATGTCACAATCAAAAATAGGATGAGGTTCATTAGGATTCAAACCAGGTGCAAATATGTGCATTTTGGGGATGTGGTAGACAGAGAATATAGTTTGTACAGTTTGTGGCATACCGTTGTCTTCTTAACTCTACCCCGTGTTCTGGAAAGTCAACTAAACCCCTGCTTCTCCTTGCTCCCACCAATCTTTGAAGCTGCCCTCTCTTCCAGGATGTCTGGCTTAGATCTGCTTTCCCAAACTGCTGCTCTCCCAGCTACTGCTCTTGACACATTCCAAATTTCTCTAGCTCATTTCCTCCAACTTCATTCAGCCTTTCTTTCACAGATTCCTGACCCCTGGCAATCCTGTCGCCCTGTTGTTCAGCTTTCTGCCAATCAACTCCTAGCTGATTTGGAAATTAGTATTCACAAAGCCCACATTTGCATCGCACATACATAAGATATCTTCCATCTACAGCCAAAGGAAGATGAGTATAATATCCACATAATTGGGAAGAGGGGCTATTAATCACACAGCCTCCAGCCGAGCAGAGAGGACTGCCAGAACACCGTGATGATGAGCCAGGTGTGAGACTTCTAGCCTTCTCCTTCAGCAGCATTTTCTTCTAGTTAGTATCAGATATCGCATTCATAAGGAGTACAAGTGTGCACAGCTTTAATAAAACCAAAAGAAAAAAAAAGAAAAAAAAAACACTCACAAAATAGATCAAATAAATATGTATGGGAAGAGCCAGGGAGGAGCTCAACTACAGAGATGGTGTTGTTCGCATTACAAAAGAATTAAGCCGATTTCTTCAAACAACCTGTGATTGCAACTGCTTGGTTTACAAAATGTGTTCACAGGAATTAAATCTTTTGATTTGTGTAACAGTCCTGTGAGGGCTACAAAATAGGTTAAATGCCTTTCCCAAGATGTCTTAGCTAGCAGATAGGGAGGGTGTGACCGAAGTTTTCCTCTGGTACCAAGGACAGGAAGTAGACGGCAGCCTGTATGCCAGCAGCTGTTGGTTGGAAATGGATTCCTGAGTCCCCCAGATTCAGAGTTCTTCAGTGGCAAAGAATGCCGTGGTTGATTAGCCATGTCTGCCATGGGTGAGGGGAATGGAGGTGAGTGTGCCTCCTGATTGTTAGGCACACATTATACCGCACTTCCTGTGACCAACACGATGAACGTGGAGGATGTTTTACAAGGAAATGTAAATAAATGAAGCTTTAAGGAAAAATATTTATAGCAGTATTGAAGTAACTTTATATTTTAAAATATATGTTACAGTTTCAAATAATACATTGGGGAAAAAAAAGAAAAAAAAAAAAAAAAACAGAAGCAAATACTTAATTCTTCTTTTTTCTTGTTACCTCCAGAGGACCAATAACTCTAAATTTAAGCTAAGCTGCTGCAACCCAGATTGCTGGGTTTCATTTTCCTTTATTTCCTTTACTTCCAACACACTTCTAGGTTCATTGATTGATGACTGGCAGATTGATGATTGGTATTTTTAAGATACCAGCAGAAGGTACTGGTAAAAATGTTAATAAACTTACTATCTTCCGCAACTATTAAAATTGGTTTAGAAACCATATGCAAATTAGCAGGAACATCATAAATGACTAGAAAAAGTCTAATACCTGCTGCACTGATCATTGCTAAAAACAGGATCACTGTCAAGTTCATCCTTCAGTCATTATTTATTCCCTATTTGGAAAACTTTGGGTTTTTTTAGAGTGCATAAAATAATAGAAATCATGTTTGACAGATTGTGGTAAAAAAAAGTTTTGAAGATAAAACATGTGCCTTCACATGGATGGAGCTACAGATGTTTCCAATTATTCCCAGTTAATGATACAAATTTTAAGTTTGACTTGTTAAGAC